AGAGATTATGGACACTGTTGCTCACTCTCAGGAAGGGGACAGCGCTTTGTTTACAGCCAGCCTCTAGGTGGTCCTCACAGAAAGCGGCAGGGAAGAGGCAACCAGAAATATATCCATAGGACCAACATCATTTGGGGCAAGAGGGTCTACACTACTGCGCTCTTCAGGCCTCCTCTCCCCAATGCCATGATTAGTAATTACAGTTAAATCTTGGGTAGTGGAACAGGAGATACCTCAGGGCTTTGGTGTGGATGGAAAAATGAGGCGCAGTATGTGTGCTTGTGTGTTTAAATTTTAGAGACTATTGAGGTAAGTTCCTAGTGTCACCCAAAGGAATACTAAGTATTGGCCTAAAATTTCAGGATTTTTCATGGCAAAATATTTGATGCTGTTTTGATGGAAAAGACGTGCTAATTTCAACTTTACTGTGAAAATATTTCAGCCCTACCCAAGACTCACTTTTTCGAGAGGGGAGATAATGCATAAAGAAGAGTGTAGGAGGAGCCCATATTTAATTCTAAGACACAGTGCTCGAGGAAAACAGCAATGTATCTCCTAATCTGCTCCTGCTAATCCCCGATTCCCTCGCCCAGAGGAAGCTGTACTGGCCGAACATGGACAGCAGGTGGCGCCAAAGTCAGTCTTTTCAGGCTTCCCCAAATCCTGGCTTTGGAGGCCAGACGTGTCTTAGTCTGCACATCTGGATAATATCTAAGAGAGATTTAGTAGGTTATTTTTCTCTTCTGCTTAACAATTGTTAACTATATTGTTTATGTTTTGGCCTTATTTCCAGTCACTGAGTCAGCCCTTAGTAATTCTAAGAATAATTAAAATTTCAACTTGCCTGGCCTTTTTTTTTTTTCTTATATGGCTGAACTATGTATAGGAATAAAATTATGACTGACCTCGATTGCTTCGTGGATGAAAAGATTGCACAACGATCACTAAGGGCGTGACTAATGATTATTTTGAATAAATCTAGTCCCCAGTCCCGGAAATGAGTGCTAAATACCCAGGAGAAGCAACAGAAATGTCTTGTCCAGGTTTGAATCACAAAGTGTCTCTAGGAGCATGCTCTCTAAAGCAGGTGTTGAAAAATCACCTGAGATTTTACTGAAAGACAAACCAATTGGCTCAGCGTCCTGCGTTAGGTTTGTTAGTGTATAGACTTTGCCAAAAAATACTCATATTCCTCAATTTCAGGATGTTTTATCAATATTGCCCTTAGCCACACATTCCCTTTCTAAGCATTGTCGTGGCCAAGTGCAGCCCAGCATTCACCTCGACACAGAATCACTCATCATGCTGTGTGGGGTTGAGAACCTTGGCCTAGTGAGTTGACTCAAGATTTGCAATCTTGCTGCAGCTGAATTTTGCCCCTTTGGGTCAAACATTAAAAGCCTTGACCCAATTCACATACTCTGGCTTCTCTTCAGATCGCATAAATCTTTTGCCTTTTTCACAAACCAATCCTTTGATTCAGGAGTATTTTATGCCTTGCTGTAATCTGGACATTTATAGTTAATAACAATAATGATTTGTCTACAGTTTGTTGAATGTCTACTAGATACCACACATATAAGTGTGTGCGCGCACACACACACACACACACACACATACAGAATTGGCTAAACCCCAAGACATGATATTTGACAGGTAGCAATTTTTGAGTTGGGTTCTGTTTGCCCATCTATTCTTAAGGCTAATTCATGTTTGCAGACTCTTGCTTTCATCCTGTCTGTCTGAGCCTGGCCACCTGGTGTGGGAAATAAGATTTATGATTTGCATTTCCACAAATAAGCAAAAATTTCATAACTATGAACTAAAACATAATTAATGATTTTGCTGATTATTTTCCCTGAAATGCCCATTAACTGAAGTGCTCTTCTATGCAGTCATATATATGTATCTGTAATTGCATACACCCTCGTGAGGATTCCCCAACTGTCGCTCGTTTACCCTTGCATTTTTTCGAGCATGTTTATTTACTCTCAAAACCAATTGTGAAAAGAGCAAGTCATGTAAGTACATCAAATAGCTATATGAGAGCACTTAATAAATAATAATTGATAGAGATGAAGATATCTTTAACAGAGCCACAAAATTCACTTCAAATATGTAATAATTTTATTAAGGATAAAATTAAAAATTATTAACACAGTCATACTGGGATTCCCTATATATAACATAGAATATTATGTGAAAGTTATAGTTTATTCTCAGTTATGTGTGTGAAAAGACCAATAACACCTGTGTATATCATATGTGTATATATGAGTATGCATACAACATATTCTTCTACATATCATATAACATATGTAGATATATATGTGTGTACCTACATTAGCAAAATGTTATATTGAACATGTTTATTAGGTTCATATATGTTTATATTTCAATGATGGAATTTTTGCTTTCTCAAATATTTATGACCCTTTAAATAAAGTGATAAGACTAAGCTCCTTAGACTTCCTCAGGTACCACTCAACTCTAAGATGCCTGATGATAATCTATCCTGTCCCAGCACTAAAAATTAAAGAAATAAGCAGAATTAGACCCTTTCTGAAAACCTTCTGTTTCACACTATCTCTAGAGCAAAACAAAAGTCATTTTTGCTTAACTAGGCATGGCCTCAGTGTGCGTGTAGTATTTCTCTGCTTTGGTAACTTCACTAACACACTAATTCAAACAAATGTGCCACCAAGCTCATGCCACCTACAGCATATAGAGGAGCTAAAATGGCCATCAGGCCAGAAGCCCATGGAACTGCCATTAAGAGACTTAAAGATAACAAAGGGCCAGAAGGGTGGGGTGGGGGATCCAGGTGGGGTGCATTAGGAAGGGAGCTGAGCTAAGACTCATGCAGAACACCTGGATTCCAGTGGTCGGTACATAATTACTGGTCAGGTGCTTTAGGCAGGAAACAAGATCTTCTTGAGTCTTAATTTCTCATGAAAGGCATGAACCTGAAGGTAGTAAAGTGCCTTTTTATTAATATGATCCTACAGCCATTCAGAATATTTAAAATTTGAATCTGTAGTTCTGTATTTTTACATATGATAAAGCTTATTTTACACTATAACTATGCTGTTTGAAGTTTGTATATATTCATATTTTTATAGTAAGTATTTTTAATATTTTCAAGAAGCCATTCTAGTCCAAATATTCTATTGAAATATATATTTTTTAAGATAATGGTGGATACCTTTGTGTTGTTTCATTTGTTCTGGCTATTATTTTAAACAAACACAAATTTCATTTGCTAAATGTTTGCCAAGAGATTCCTCAGCTCGTCATTGCCGGGTCACTTCACTGTGTAGTAGTGACAGGCAAAGCCTGGAGCCAGCTGCCTGGGTGAAAACCCCAGTGTACTAGCTGCGTAAACTTGTGCCTCTGTTATCTTCCTGTAAAACAGGGCTCATTATAGTACCTGCCTCAGAGCATGTTTATGTGCTTGGATTTGTAAAGTGTTTATAACAATATTTTTTACTAAGAGCTATGAAATTGTTTGCTGGTTTTGTTTGGTTGCTATTGCTATTATTATTTACAAAAAACAACAACAAACAGAATAGGAGAACCTTTTTGAATTCAACACTTTCCCCGTTACTTTACCTCTGACCTGGTATGCTCGTTGACAATTTTGGCCGCATTCACATACCAGAGGATGCTTCCATTGCTCTTGAGCCATCATAAGTTTAAACACACATTCGCACACCTATGCACACACATTCGTCTGCACAGGTGCCCTCAAAACCTCACAGTGACTCATAATTCCAGTCCCACTAATCTCTCTTTTGAATGTCATCATCTAAGCATGCAGGCTTCAATCCCAAAGTCTTGGCTGTGAAAAATACTAATATTTTATTCTTTTAATAGACGTATAGGAACAGAACTATACAAAAGGAGAGAGAGGACAAGCAAAGCACAGGAGACAGGCTCTTCAGATGTACATTTTCTGCCCCAATCTTCCTCTTTCTGTCAACACACAGATCACTTTTCCACTTTCTTTTCCAATCCATCTCCCTCTTGGATCTATAGCCACACCCCCAAATCATGTCCACACTGGGAAAACTCGGGTGGCAGCGCCGAGCACAGGCCGCCCCCCAGGTGAACCCTGGGCAAGCTCAGGCCTCAGCCCTGCTTCTGACTTAGACCTGCCTCTTCACCTCTCCGGGTCTGTTGTTTTCTGTTATTGTTGTTGTTGGCTTTGCTTTTGCTTTATAAAGTGTCAGATAAAGAGCTTGGACCAGATGATCCCCTGCTGCCTCTCCGAACTCTACAGTGAGCTGGCTGGTCTTCCACCTTGCAGCTAACGTTCACCACTCACAAATATGACTTTGAAACAGTTCCCCTCCCTGTAACCAATAAATAATTACAGCTTCCCTCTGAGAAACAAGAGAGTCACAGACTGGCTCCATGTTTTATTGATGGAGACGCTGTGATAAATCGGGCGGATGAGCCCGTGTCTGGGGCTGAAGGACCCTCACCAGCGCTCGGCATCTCAATGAGTGGCATCGGCTGCCACGGCGAGCGGGGCCTGCGAGAGGAGCTGGGGAGAGGAGCCTGCTGCCCCGTCACGCACCTCGGTGACAGCCAGCCGGTTTGGGGCCTTCTCTGCTGAGAGCATTTTGGATTTAGAGATGTTTCAACCAATGATACTCCTTCAGATACTTATAGCTCAGGAAGAAGAGTGAAGGAACGATTGTGAGCACTTGGTGGGCTGTAGTAAGCGCACTGGTGTTGAGGGGCTGCACCTGGCGGGGTCTCACCTCTGACACGGCGGGTCAGCAGTCAGCTGTAGCACACAGTGGGTCGGCTGTAGCACACAGTGGGTCAGCTGTAGCACACAGTGGGTCGGCTGTAGCACACAGTGGGTCGGCTGTAGCACACAGTGGGTCGGATGTAACCGNTGGGTCGGCTGTAGCACACAGTGGGTCAGCTGTAGCACACAGTGGGTCGGATGTAACCATTCTCTTTTCTCTCTCTCTCTTGCACTGCAGGACCTGGGTCGGTGAGAGGCATAAACGGATCCATCAGTCTGGCCGTACCACTGTGGCTGCTGGCAGCGTCTCTGCTCTGCCTTCTCAGCAAATGTTAATAGAATAAAAATTTTAAAATAATTTAAAAAAAAAAAAACAACACACAAAAATGCGTCACACAGGATACAGAGAGAGAGCAAGCGAGATGGGGGGAGACTGTTTATTTCACAACTTTGTGTGTTTATAACTGAAGGGGCAAGTAAGAAAAGGGAGAGGAAAATACGACACTTAGAACCATTTTCAAGTCCATCAGTAAACATCTGAGTGCAATTCAGGGTGGGAAAAGCTCTACCAGGCTATAGGAATGTCTGAGCAGGTGTGTGAAGACCACATCGCCTAAGGACACCCAGGTGTAAACACAGGACAAGGGAAGCAGTACCCGATGGATAGTAACCCCCACACACGATCCTTCCTTCATCTTCTTTCATCATGAGGGGGAAAAAAAAGAAAGGTCTTGCCTTTGGTGTGTATATTTCCATCAACTCTTTACTCTGTTCTTCATCGGAGCCGACTCGTAACCATTTCAGACTATCCATGGAATCCAAGCTGGAGTCCTGTGTTGAGCCTTTATCTGGCTTTTCTGCCTCCACTATCCCCAGCTCCTAAGACCATCTCCTCCCCCTCCGGTGTGTCCTATCTCCCCCCACTCTTCCCACGTACCCCCTCTTATCTCCATGCCCCGCCTCTCTTCACTCCCACCACCCCGAGCGCCAGGAAGAGCCACTGCAACCTCCCCGCTGTGTGTGCTCGCGTCTCTCGCTCTCATGTGGGTGTACATGTGTGTGCGCGTGTGTGTCTCTCTCAAGCATGCCAAGGGAATGGTCCATGTGTACATAGACTTTGTGCTGTAGATACTGTCCCGCATTGTAATTGTGAGACGCGGCTGTGACACTTTGCTGGGGGACACGGTGGGGAAGGGGGCCCGGAGCAGAGGCCCTTCCCCACCCGTGGCTGTCCCACGACATCGGTGTGTGTTCAGACCACGCTGTGCCCCTTCCAAGGGCAGAACTTCATCTTTCTCCTAGTCCAATCATCAGAACCCAGTCGAGAGTCACTCAGAAAATCACTGTCAATGAAAGTGCCTACTATTGATGGGGTGAGCAAACGGTAGAGAGAATTGGTGACGCGGTGAGGCGGCCTAGGAGAGAAGGTTTCTGATTTCACTCTTGTTCCACGAGCCTGAGGGACTCGTAGACCCGCTGGCTTGCTGCGGGCTGGGCCCTGCCCTGCTGCAGGGTGAGCGGCATGTGCTGAGTCAACCCCCAGAAGCAGGAAGGTCTCCGAGTGGTAACTCCCAGGGGGAAGGTGAGGAGCCATGTGAAGATCCTAAGCAGCCCTGTTTTGCCCCCTCCCCAGTCTTCAAATAACCGTGCATTCGCCCCATGGATTCCCCTGAGCAGAGATTGTTTCCCATCTGAGCGAAGCAGGAAAGATGGACAGATACTCAGATCCTTACTCAAATTGTAGAGATGCCGACAGAGCTCTGATTGACCGTAACAAAACGGAATCCTCTCCTGTGCTCCTTTGCAGACCTTTGTCTGGCGTTCTAGGCTAAGACTCTACGTAGTTGCCCATATTCTCTCCCTCCTGTTCCACTGCTGGTGTTGGAGCACCACTGATCATAGCAGTCTATCCTTACCTTAGGCCAGGCCACTAGGAATTGAGTTATATTCCAATTTCCCTGCTCACTTTTGGCTTCTAGTCTCCTGGAAAAGAGACGGTGGGGAATATGCTGTTTAAGTCTACATCTGCAAGCATCATCTTGCCATTAACACTGAAATGCAAGTTAGTGTCTTAACCAAGAGAGCCAGGAAATGTAATAATTCACCCAGGAGTTGTATGCTTGCCACAGAGCTTGGCATTGTCACAACACTGGGAGGATTTTCTTGGGGAAGGCCTTGCAGAGGGAGCTGGCTCTGTGTGTGTGGATAGCTTTGTCAGGAAATCAACCCTACTGAAGTTGATTGGAAGTCATTGGAAGTGACTCAGTTTGTGGAAGGACAGAGGATTATTATTGAAGTCATAATTGAAAGTATTTTAGCAGAGCCAAATATGGTACCTCACCAAGTTTTGAAATCTGAAAAATAGCTCTTATGTGATATAAAACAGGAAACTCCGTAACTGAAAATCAAAAAAGGAAGAGAGGTAGAAAGGAAAGAAGGGATGGAGGGTGGGAGGAAGGAAGGAAGGGACAGAGAAAGGAAGAGGGGCAGAAAGGGAAAAATTCCTCCTGATAGACTTTATTAATTAAAGGCTCTTTGCAATGAGTCTATGAGCATAACAATCTCCTTGATGAGCAGGATTTTTCATCTCTTCTGAGAGATTCTACTGTTTGTTTTAGAAGTTTATCACCAGCCTTCTTTTATGATTTTTCAGTTAGAACATGAAACAGAAGAACAAATTAGGGTTGGGTATCAGAAAGAGTGTTTGTGGCAAATCCTGCTTTAGGACAGGTAACTACTAAAATACAGGGGAGGTTGGCCATATCCCTAGGCAATGTCAACTTACTGACAATCAGGGTTTCTCTAAAGTCTGGTCTTAGTACAAGATTAAAAGTTATCACCCTTGGTGAGAAATGTTCCCCATATATATGAAGACCCAGCCATGCCCTTAAGTGGAAGCTTTAGAGGAGTACATGATAATGTAAAGATACGTAAGAGAAAAGTAACAGGAGTTAATTCAGTTTAGGATCCGTTTCAGGAACAGGTCCCAGGTATGTCCCAGATTTTAATCATACACCTAGATCTTTTATTGTTCCTGCCCTATCACAAGGATAAGGTCTTGGTTTTATGGAAGGAGATTCTCCATCGAAAGGAATGTCTTTGCCATGTCGGCACCATTTGTTCACTGAGTTTTAATATAATGGACCATATATTAAACATGATTAAACATATATTGAATATTGTGGTGTTTGCCTATATCTCTGGCAGGATCTGGGAATTTTAAAAATTCGTCCTAGCCCCTGGTTCAGAGCAAACATTGACCCATAAATCTTGTAGGTTTGAGAATGTTTCTAAGCAACATGAAGAATGGGGAATACAGACTGGAGAAAGATCAGGAAAAAAAAGGTAGAAGCCAGAGAACTATCACCAAGAAATTGAATCTAAACATGGGATTTCTTGGAATTTAGTTCCTCGGTGCATCATACTGCTATAAATCCCCTCAAGAATCTTGTCCATTAGTAATCACAGCTTAAACCCTGAACCCACTGGTTAGAAACAATTCAGGGGAGTGAAATGCATCCATTAATCTGAGTGGCTAACAGGTTTAATGTTCATCTGCAAAATGAAACATCACCATTTCTAAAACAAAATCTTTAGACTCGATTTCCAGTTAAAAAGGCAGAAATAACCTTGACCCAGGGCACTTTTTGAAGAATGAAAACTAATCCTAGGTTTTTCAACTGCAGAATTACCTCCTCTGAACAATTGCTCATCAGAAGGTTTTTGTCTTACTTGATTTGAGACCTGACATGGCTCTGCCCTGAAAGAACTGAGACTTACGGGAAAGGCGTTGACTTTCTGTTGGAAAGAATCATCCCATTGACCTTTGCCTTCTCTCCCAAGTCAGACAGACTCCTCCCTTGTCATGGGCATTTTTTTAAACTACATATTCAGACAACTGGGGCTATTCATAGAGACCTTGTAAAAGTACTCGTGATTTTCATGTTCTTGGAGGACAGAAACAGAAGTCTGCTTCTCCTCCAAAAATGGACTTACCTCCTTTGCACACAAAAACTAAACTCCTCAGCATGAGATTGTGTCTGAGTTATCACCCACCAAGTCGGTAGCCTCTTACCTACTCCAGAGTCACAGTTTCCATCCCCAGGTTGGTTGTGGTTTGACTGTTTCTATTGGTTTGTCTCCCAGAATTTCTATTTTGCTTTTTGCAGGCCTTGAATTATTTGTGAAAAATAATATATGTGTGTGTGTACTACTTTTAATCTTATCTTTACCGATGCTATATTCACAATATTATGTGTATGAGAAGACTCTAGAATAATGGTTTAAACTTAGAGAGAAGAAAAGCACTGAATTTGGTTTAAAAAAAAGGAGCTGTGTTTTGTTTAGAAAGACATGGAGCCCCATTTTTTCCCCATTTGTTTAAAAGCAATTTGCTTACGTACCATGTCCCATGGGATTCACCATGGCCATGCATTTCTCTTCATCTTCATAACTTTTTAGCTTAGAGTTAGTCTTGGTTCTCAATAGCTATCATTTTTATAGAAATAAGTGTAATGCAATATCTGACCCATAAAAACTACTATTATTCTGGGACAAATGTTAAATATACCATAAAAATAATGAGATAAGACCCTGAGTTAAGAAATGCAAATCAGTTTAAAAAGCCTCCTTCTTTCCTAAGTATTTAAAATATTTCTCCCCCAAAGACTGCCTTTGCCCCAGTGATGTAAATTCTCCACCAGGGTTGGCATAATGTCTGTAAACATCTCCCTAAATGCAAAACGGGGTTTCCTAGCGGGAGAGAAGCAGACCATTCTCATTTGCATGTAGCTCTGCTTGGGACGCGGCCAACTGCAGTTCAGGGCAGGGCCTTTCACCCAGCAACGCGTCGCTTTCCTCCCGCCCGGACGCTGGTGTTAACATTACGTTCAGGTTTAATATTACACCAGCGCAAATGTTTATGGATATTATGGAAAACTTATTTTAAAATCTTGATTTCCTTTCAGCGTATTTACATACTGTGTGCTGATTAATAAATTAGGCACCAATCATGTGTAAATCAATGTAAATCACTAGTTTATGTACATAATACAAACTATGTAAACTTCGGTTTTCAGGCAGGGCCCAAGTTCAGCTAAACCTAGGAATCTTAAAGAGAAAAAAAAAAAAAAACAAGATAAAAATAAATAAGAACCAAAACATTTCATAAGTCAAAATGGGAAGAAGTAAGACTAATGGTCCAGACTCGAGGTTGTCCCACAAAGGAAGCAGGCCCAAGGGGAACTGTTCGGGCTTCATATCCTGCTCAAGTCACAGGAAGCCACCTCTTTGTTCCTTGAGGACTAAAGTGCAGTTTCTCCCAACTGTTTCCACAATTTTCTCACCTGATCCCAAAGCAAGGGAAATGACGAGACAGGGAGGAAGGGTTGTGAGGGCTCATGTGCCTGCTGCATTAACTCCAAATGTCTTCTTGTTACTTCTCACTTACCATCTAAGACGTCTTAGTGAAATAGCTCCAGAGAAGTCCCCTACACCTTGATGAACAAAATATTAGTTTTTCTTTTCCATCCATCAAAGACATTGGGAAAACCTCTTTGTCATCTTAATCCTAAGAAATTGTGGAATATAAGAAATGCATGATATCTTTGAGAAATACCTTGCTAAGGCACCCTAGGAAATAACTACTTTTACCTAATCCATAGACCTCTATTTCTACGTATCTACCCTGAATATTGCAAATGAGGTCAAAACCATTTTAATCGGGAGCATCTCTCTCAGACACGTTCTCTTGGATTCTTTTTGAAATGTCTGATGTGTTTAACAGACATATAGGCTTTTTCTAAAATCTAAACAACTGATAACATAAAGAGTCATCAAGGAGATGACTTCAAGGATCACATGACTTTTCTGAAAGGACTGTTATAGAAAGAAATTTAGGTCAAGTGAATAGTTCGCTTAAAATACACTCCTCAACCCAAGATACATGACAACTTTAGAGTGAGGTGGAAAGTGTGCTGGATCTATAGTCAGGAGAATTGGGGCCTAAGCCTGGGTCTGGCCACAAACAAGCCAGGTGCCCTTAAGCAAGTCCTTTAACCTTCCTGACTCTTGGTTTTCTCATTCTGAAAGTGAGGAATTTGAGTGACTTCTCTAAAACCTCTGTCAGCTCTAAGCTCTCTGACGCTGAATAAGAATTCAGTGCTCTCGCAGTGCTCTGCCCAGTGAGACGTTCCAAGCAGCTGTTTGGCATCTCTAGTTTGGTCTCTGGACTGTCTTCTCCTCACAACCATCATTCCAACATCTTCATTTCAAAAGCCAAATCTTCCTAGAATATAAGATCCCTGGCCTGCTTCTGTAATTCTCTTCTGATCGAAACTTCTTAGCAATGTTGAAAAGGGACACGTTCAGACTAAACTGAAGGCACTTGAAATAGCTAGAGTTGTTTCCTTATTTATCATAAAAACTAACCCTTGAACTACATTTTAATAACCTTTCATAGGAAGGGAAATAACCAGATTGGGTATTGGGCATGTTAGTAAGTGAGGAAGTTGTGCATATGAAAGGAAACATCAGTTTTCTCTGATCCCGGGCCAAGAGCCTCACTGTGGTCAATGTATGTCCTTGAAAACACTTTGCTAGTGCTGGTGATAGAAAGCACGTGGTCCCAGGCAGGTTCCATGAGAAAAGGGCAAGATAACATATTCTGTTTTGGAAGGAATTTCTTATGGCATAAGTTTTCCTAAACTTGACTTACAGTCTATGAAGTCAAGACAGTGTATGGAGAGAAAATAAACCTCATTTTCAAAAAGTACAAGTTGATATCATCTAAAGAAGACAAGTTGAAAATAGGACAGAAATGAACACATTTTAGGAGGTTACAGAGCTGAATGTAGTAAGCGTTGTGAAGGCCAAAAACCAAATATGAAAGTTAAGTTCTCCGAGAGGAGGGTAAGCAGAAAGGATGGTTTCTCAGGTGGTTGATGAGGAACTACTTTCTTGTGCCATGTACTGGATGGATTGAGCACAGGCCCATTTGTCTTGTCCCATCAAAGTATAGCCCCCCACTATCCTAGAGGCTCAATTCAACATCTGTCCAATGGTAGCTTTCCATGCATTGCTTAAGAGAACAGAAAGAATGGGAGTCTCCTGTAACTGAAGAGCAGGGATTGCACATAACTTTCCAGCATTACTATCACTTTACGTAGCTAAGGAAACACCATGTACTTCGAGTACTTACAAAGCTCTCCTTGAGCGGGGGAATGACCTGTGCACGGGACAGCTCCCCATTTCCATGGGTATTTCAGAGGTGCCTCCTTCTGAGTGGTGCTCCTGGATCTGCTCCTGCAGCTGCGTTCTTCTCTGCACAAGCCCTCCCTATGTAAAGCCAGGCCCAGTGTTCAAATCTGCTTCTTGCAAATGGAAATACCTGGAACTACTAGCTTCATGACACGTGGCAGTAATTCTAAGCTATCTGGAGCCTTTTTGAACCCACTTCCTTAAGTCTTCGCTCTTCACCAGAGAATGTAAATGGTTCATCCTGGTGAATTATGGCCAAGCTCTGCAACCTAAGTATTTACTGGGAGTGGGGGAAGGTTGAAGGGAGGAAATTACCGGGGGAGAGAAGCATGGGAGAACACCTCCAACTCCCTCCCGCCGCCCCCAGTGCTTCACCCCTTCCTTCTCACTGCTGTACTGAATGGTGTATAAATCCTGCTCTTGGTTAGAATTCTCCTTATTAACAGTGTTATATACATATAAATATATATATAAATATATAAATATATTCCTTTTTTCAACCCTGTAGACATAAACAGTACTTTCCTTGATATAAACACATGGCCATTTTTTGTTTGTGTTATTTTTGGTTGTTCGAGGTTTTTAATTTTTGTTTAATGGGTGGATTTTTCCCCTGGATAATAGCTCTGTGAAGGAACATAAAAAGCGCAGTGTGTGTAAAAAAAAAAAAAAAATTAAAATTGAAAAAAGCTTTTTCCCTTTTCTTTTTCAATGTATTTAAATTCTGTTTCTCTCTTCTGTTACTTTACACGTATGAATGCTCTGCTCTTCTGTGATCTTAAAACAAAATGAAATAAACGTGAAAAGGAGATGTGTCTTCATTGACCGGAGTCAGTGATCTTGTGGTTGGCCAAGCTGCTTCTTGGAAATTTTCATGAATCAGACAGTTTGCTTTCTATTCTTGCCAAGAGCTATTACCTTCACAAAATGTTTCCAGAATCTGCGTAGAATCCCTGTATCATTGCACAGGACAGACAGGAGATGGCAAGAGACGATGAAAAACAAGCAATCCACAATTGAAAGAAGTGAGGTGGACCAGCTATGTATCAGAAATGATTGAGAAGGTCTAAAGGTTGACTTTTAGGAACCAAATTGGGTCATAAAAACAACAACAAGAGAACTGATCCCAAGTCACAGCGGGTGGCTGGGGGAGAGGGGGAGTAAGTGAGCACTTATGACCAGCGCCGATCATCAATAAAGGGCTTCAGAAGCAAAACCCTTGGTCTCCTCTGATTCAAAGAGACAGCATTAAGAACACAATCTCCCCAAACTTGAATTTTATATAAAACTGAAAATGCTCTTCTTTAATGACTTTGCCAAACTCAAGGTTAAAGACCTGGTGCTCAAACAAGGCAGCTCTCACATCAGTCACCAGCCACTAACTCAGGGTCCTCCAGCCACCCTCATTTCTGATCAGCTGGCAAAAGCATACTCTCTGATTTAATAATTTCTAGAATGACTCACAGAACTCAGGAGAAGTGTTACACTTATGATTACAGTTTTATTATAACAAAAGGGTGCAAATCAGAACCAGTCAAAAGGAGAGACACAAGCACAAAATCTGAGAGAGTCCCCAGTGTGAAGTTCCCACTGTCTTTCCCTGTGGAGTCAGGACACGTTACCCTCCCAGCACACTGATGTGTGGCAGGCAGTGCACAGAACGGTGCCCAGGCTTTGGTGCCCAGAGTTTATATTGGAGTTTCACTACTAAGGCATGATTGATTGAATCATTGGTTACACAGTTCAACTCGATCTCCAGGTTCCATTCCCTGCTGGAGGTTCAAACTGGCATCACTAACACATGACTCAAGCTCTACTTTAACCATATGGCTCATCTTCTGACTTGGCCAATCCCATCCTGAGTCATCTTAACGTACAACTATCTAGGGGCCCACCATAAGTCACCTCATTACTATCTACCATCTACCCCCCCTAAGGGGGACCAACTTGAATAACAAAGAAGCCCCTACTACAGTTGTTCCTCGACTTATGGTAGGGTTACCTCTGGACAAACCCATTCCATCAGAAATTGGAAATAGCGTAAGTCAAAAATGCATTTAATACACCTAACCTGCTGAACATCATAGCTTAGTCTAGCCTACAGCAAGCATGCTCAGGACACTTACATTGGCCGACAGCTGGGCGATTATCTCGACTTTCATCTCAAAAGCTATTGCCTTTCTCTTCTCATCAGAAGCAGGAGACACAGATGGGTGTTTCTATAGACATGATGATATACGAGAACACAACACAATGTCCAAAAAGTGCTGGCAACACAGTGCACTGTAGAGTACCGGTTGTTTACCCTCATGATCGCATGGCTGACTGGGAGCTGTGGCTCACTGCCACTGTCCAGCATCATGAGAGAGTGTCGTCCTGCATATTTCTAGCCCAGGAAAAGATCCAAATTCGAAGTATGGTTTCTACTGAATGCGTATCTCTTTCGTGGAATCCTAAGTTGAGCTATCGTAAGTAGGGGAATGGTGTACTTGGAAATTTTCAAGGACCTAGAGGTTACCGCCCAGGAACCACGGACAAAGGCTAGTCAACATCTTTATATCTTTTGCTGCCAATCTTGTAAAAAAACACTTGGAATCTCTAATAGAAATTTCTAATTGTCCCCAGCTGGCTTGATATTTTATTTCCTTTAAGCCACAGAAGCTTCAGGGTTTGAAAGTTAACACCACATTGAGGCTTTATCATCATTAGTTCCTCAAAAGAAATTCCTCCTAGTATACCCAACCCCCGAAGAGTTAAGTAGCCCTTCCCAGAAAAAATGAGCCAAGAGAAGTCCTCTGTCATGCCCATTAAATACATATGGGCTCTCCCAAGACAGACATTCCTCTACCCTACCCTCACTCACCATGCAGCCACGTTCTAAGACCTGGAGACTCTGTCTCAAGTGTGACTAGTGATACAATGTGGAAAGACACAGAGCTCACCCTGTGCATCTGTTAATCCTTTGTTTTACGAACTCCATCTTCTAATGAGAAATCCCCAGCCAGGCTTCTTCCTCTTCTTCTTGGTTTTTTGTGTGTCTGTTTTTTAATATGACATGATGCATTATGGAAATAAGACTTTACACAATTGTGTGAGAAACGGGGCAAGTAAGGTCTGCGGAACTGAGAGATCTAAGAAAGTCTTAGCCCAGCCCTTCTGAAGCGCTATGGCTTCAGATGGACAAGTTAGGGGCTTGCAAGAGAATACCAGATGTGAGGCATGTCCGGCTGGAGCAGGGTGGCATGAGAGGACTGGTGGAGAAGTCAAAGGAAGTCTCTTGACTTTGCTCTGCTGGTCAACCTTCGGTTGCTGTAGGTCGGCAGAGCAGACGTCAGCAAGAAGAGCTGGGCACAGATCAAGGTGAGAGAGAAGAAGAACCCTCTGTGTCTGTCTCTCATGGCATCTAACCCTGATGATCTTCAGACAGTATGACTGCTGCTTCTCTTCCAGTTTCCCAACCTTGTGTAAATTCCATTTTTGGCCAACTTTAGCCAGGAACCATATAAGGAAAGGGATCCTGGGAAACATGGTGCCAGCTTAGCCAGTTAGTCAAAGTACAAAACTACTGCAGACTTTAACCTTCTCTTTCATGCTACACACTTTAATTACATGTTTCTTTTTTCCCATATGTGCATGCACACTTGCAAATGATCCTGAACTCTACGAGCAGGGGAATTTTTATCTTATACACCTCAGTGTCTAGAATAATGCCCCACCATACAGTAACTACAGGGTGGGACAAAAGTAGGTTTACAGTTATTCATGTAGAAAATAATACAATAATTAATAAATAATAGTACAAGAACAAACTCTGTGTTCCATGTGCTTACAACTGTATCCAATGAATAATTGTTGAATTTTTTTGTTGCTACCTGGGTGTGTGCCCCAATTTGTGGTTCTTTTAGGCCTTTTAATTAGCTGAATGTCAGTCCTCTGTAAGTGATTAAATGATGGGCTTCAGCACATGATGCTTTCACAGGTGAGGGGACTTGGAACAGATGTGCCTGCAGGGTCTTAGGGGATTTCTAATGCTAAAATATAAGGCCACCAGACAGTCTAATAATGGACATATTTTGGGGTAGGACTTATCTCTATTAAGGGTCAGACAGCCATGAAGAAAAACTGACTCTAGAAACACATGAGGAAGCGTGACCCACTTAGACTATGGGAACTGAGGTATTTACAAGACATTTAACCAAGTGAACTCCCAAGACCTTAACACCTGATGCTGAAAACACGCAGCTTAATTCCTGGGTTCCCATGGGTAAAGCTGACAAACTAGTCCATCTACATTAGCCCTTCTTTCTTTTATACTCTGAACTACCTATAAGCTTCCCTGAGCTTACAGACAGAAAAAAAGCCACTGCTGGTATTAGATTGAGTGGACTTCTCATAGGAGAGGGTCACACAAGCTGGACAAGAAATTTTAGCACCATTTTCTTTCTTTTTTTAAGAATAGCTTATCAATTTTTAGACAGAGAAGAAGGGAGAGGGAGGGAGACAGAGGGAAACATCACTGTGAGAGTACATCCATTGGCTGCCTCCTGCACGCCCCCTACTGGGGATGTGCTCTTGACCAGGAATCAAACTGGCAACCTCCTGGTGCACAGGAAGATGCCCGACCAACTGAGCCGCACTGGCCAAGGCTGGTCAACATCTTATGTACTGGCAGGGCCTCAAGCCTCCAGGGAAGATTCAGAGACTTGCTCAGTTTCTTGGAATTGGCCACTTACTCACTTCAGGAACCTAGGTTTTTTAGCTACAAATTAATGATCTTGATCCAAACCAGGCTTCTTATTGTTCTGGAAGGACCCCAATTACCCAATTCTGCTCACATCCTAAATGAATATTGAGAAGAAACAAGAGATGAGAACACAAGAGAGTGAGTGAGTTTCGAAGTCTAGTTAGTGTTAGCGCAGGCCTGCAGGCTGCTCTCACAGAAGTCGCATTGGCTTCCCCGTGAGTCCCGTTTCCTTACTCTTGCCCATTCTCACCAGATCATAACTGGAATGAACTCAACTTTTTTTTTTCTCTTTAAAGTACCCTAAATAGGCAATAGGCTCCTCACCTTACCAAAGTCCTTTTGAAAATAACAAGTGATAAAGCAGAGGTTAAAACAAAAATTCCTGGTGGATACAATCACTGTTTTCATTAACATTCTAAATGGTTATTTTTAATGGTACATTTAACTGAAGCAAACTTATCCGTGGGAAAAGAATGTGGCCGTTAACATGGGCATCTGTTGAACAAACTGAGGCTCCACATTCGGTGAAGCACGATTATAACACTAAGGATATGACATGCTAACGGCGGGCTCATTAGCATTAATTGCTGCATTTAGTTCCACTTAAAACCGCCTGTATATATCACACTTGCAAAATACATTAGCCTTTTTTAAATAAATACACCCTGAAATATTATCACATAAATAACAATGGAGCTAATTCCAGATCTGCATGTGTGATGTCGTCATGAGAGAAAAAGGAGAGCTAATCATCTCGGTTGCCTGGCAGCTTGACCATAGAAAGCCACCTTTCGTCGACAGGGTGCAAAATTCAGCCCAAAAGGGAGGCTCACACAGAAGGGTGTGGCAGCTGCCGACCTGTGGTTACTTTCAGGGCTTAACAGTTTGTTTAGTGGGAGCGGTGGAAGAAACCGGAGACCTGTGTACACGCAGATGCCGACTACCTGCCATGCTACACGCTCATTCACTTGGTTCATTCACGAATCTTCCCGAGGGCTGGGCCCCAGGCCCCAGGAGCCAGGCTTAATTATTCACTTGCTCTCTGAGGGCAAGCTCCAGTCCTCTGGAGTTCAAGTC